CTGTCAATAATCCTAAAAGATCTTCCTAGGTTTACTTACACAATAACGAAGTTTTAGGCACATATTATAGTCAAGCAAAATCTTAATGCCAAGATAAAAATAAATCTGGTTCTTTTGCTATAGGAAGTTACAATCTCTTATTTTAGGTCTCTTGAAAAATGAGATTTTAGTGAGGGCTAAATATACTTATTTACCTTATAGAACACATTATCAGTTTTACTTCAGACCCCACAATGGTAAAGCTGAGGGAAATATTAGTTCGTGTACCATGCACAACATACTTCTAAATACCTATGTATTTCTCTCTAGTCTGATAAAATAAAAAAAATGGAAATAAAAAGGGCTAAAGGTGTAGGGAAAGTGGGAAGGGTAGGCAAAAGGTAATAAGGGAAAAGAAAAAATATGAGAAAATGAAAAAATGGAAATAAAGTGTTTGTAAATGGGGAGGGGAAGAGGAGGCAAAGGGAGGGCAGGGACAAGGGGAAAAATGAGAACCAAGACCTGTCATGTAAAGGTGCAAGATCCCAATGATGAATGTAACTGTACTGTATACTAAAAAGTAGCAATAAACTCAATGAGAAAAAAAGAGCTTATGAAGTGTTGTTCCAAAGTTTACTGACTTTTAAATGACAAAAAGCCAAAATGTTCCCCCAATAAGTTTAAACGTTTCACCTCTATCTGGATTTAGAGAAGAATTTACTAATTTCAGATATTCTATTAGGAAATCTGCAGTGTAGCTTAATGGTAAAGCACCTGCCTAACATTTGTAAGGCTCTGAGTTCCATCACCAGGACCCCAAAGGGAAAAAAATTAAGAAAACAATTTTTAGAATAGCAGCTGGCTAGCTGCAACCCCAGTCCATACACTATATCTGGTCCATGCTGTTCTTTAAAAGTTTGTGAGGCTAAAATAGTTTTTGTATTTACAAGTGTTATAAAGAAAAGAAAAAGGAGGAAAAGACAGGAGGGGGAGGAGAAGGAAGAGAATATAGGGCAGAGAGCTATGTGGACCTAAACCTTAAATATTTATTATCTTGTGCTTTATAGGAAAGGTTTACTTCCACTCTTTCACTAATTGAATTATTTGAGCCCAAAGTAATACGCTGTGCATGCGGTGAAAATTTTTCATTATTAAAATGACACTCAGATTATTCTAAAAGTAACATGAGTGACTTCCACTATGTTTTTAAAAGTTCTGAATTTTTGCTATACATTTGAAAAGTTTGTAGGATACTAACTCTAAAGAATACCACCATAGATTATTTACATTTAGCCTTCAATTATATTGTGTCAGTTTCACTAAACACACAGTTTTGTGATTTTTCATCAGTACTGTGTAAATCATCATTTAATCATAAAACATGCCCTATCCTAAGCAATTATGCAAATCTTGATCAATAAGTGAGATTTAATAGCAACATTATATAACGCAACAGTAGCTGATTGATTTTTTAATCTTTCAATAATAAATTTTGCTGGTGTTTTTACGCATCTACAAAACATTAGTTATTTGAGCTTTAAAGAGAACTCTATAAGAAAAATTTGACTTCATTTTAACTTTCCAACTTTTGATATACATTTCCTATTCTTACTGGTTTGTTAGTGTTTCTTCCTTTTTCGGCCCTACATGAAAAATGGCAAATACCTTAGAAAGAGTTGAATTAGGTCAAAATGAAGAAAAAAAGGTGCTTTTAAGGCCAATAACTGCAGTCATTGTCACTATTCAATACATCCCGTGGTTACCAATCTTCCTTTTTCTTTAATAGCCTATACCATTGAAACATTTAAATTACTTATGTTAAAATTTATGAAGATTTAAATGATATTAAAGACCATAATAGGAGCATGTTTGGAGAAAATTTGAAAACAATAAAATACTGATCTTATTAAAATTTCTGGAAATAAAAATTAGAAAGAAGTTAAATACTCAGGCAAAATGCACTAACTGATAAGTAGGCAAGAGATCAAAAGTATGACCAAAATGTGACATGATAAAAATTATCAAACTTTAAATTTGATGCTCAAATATGCAATATACAATTAAAAGTAAAGTGTGTTCTACAAAAAAAAAAAAAAAAAACTTTTTATTTCCAGTTGAAAGTTTGATTTTCAAGTAAAGTAAGTGGAAAAGCTTGTAACTTTGTCTCTGGTTTATTCCTTTTAGATATTCAGCATCCAGTCACTACTTTTCTGAGTCTAAAGGTCCTGATTTAGCATTCCCACCAAATTTAAAGTTTTCTACACAGTATAAACAATACAGAGTGTAGGAGACCCTTTAAATAATAAAATGAAATATAAATATTACATGTTGTTTTTATTAAATCCATTGCCATACCTCCATGTTTCTTAAACTTTTCAAATACTGTTGTATCAATGACACACTTTTACATGTATTACAACTTCATATTCAAGAAAATGGATAGTAGTACCACAGCACTCTGTGCCACATTTAAAACTTCAATTAGGGTAATGTCTTACATGTTCAAACATACCCAGAACTGAAAGAATACTAAAAGCGCACTGTAATGATACTATGAATTTGGAAGAAAGTATCATATTGCAAATATTTGCTCATAAATAATGAATGTACCTCTCTGAAAAGCTAAACTTAAATAAAACACTATTCTTCTAAACATTTCAAAATCTGTCACCTTTTCACTTGATGGTGAAATTTCAAATGCAATATAGGTGGATATTGACTAATCGTCTTTCCTTTCCTGTATCTTAGTGGTGTTTAATATTCTTTCAGTTCCTTAAAAATGAAGAAACTAGCAAATAATCCAAAGGCCCATAGGTGATGTTCAGCCAAATCTGGATTTAGGTGCTCAGGAAGCTATCATCACAGAAGCACTGACATCCTTCCCTTCCAAATGCAGTGTGATGAGCAGAGGCTTGGTGGAAGGCAGCCTCATTCTGGGGGTCTTTTCACCCTTATCTGGGGACACAGAGGTCACTGGATGTAATGAGAGTCTCCATGCTTATCTTCAGCACTTACAACCACAGGACTATTCCTTTCACCTTCCTATTCCGCTCCTTTGAAGCACTAGTTACCAGATTATTGCATCTGCTGTTAATTATTTATAGTACTTTCTGCAATGCTATAATCTTCTACATCTCCATCCATCTCTCTTATTTCTGCCCCACTTTGCCCCCTTCTGTACTGTAATATAAATACTTGAGAATCACCACTCCTGTCTATTATACATTATTTATTGTGTTTCCAGTGACTTGAGTGGCATCTGTTCATAGAAGGTTCTCACTGTGCTAGTGAGAAGATGAATGAGTGAGTGGATAAATAAAGGAATGAATCATCTGGACATAAGTACTAAAGTTGAGTTTCAGTGCATGAATTTCCCAGCCCCCAGGTCAGGGAGTCATGTCTGACTCTTCAGAATCACATGAATTAGGAATCAAGTATTAAGACTGAATTTTTCAGAGAACATCCAGAAGTCATTACTCAAAGGAAAAGGTTATCATAACTAAAAACATTTACTGTGTTACTCCCCTCTTTCCTTTGCCTGTACATTAGTGCCTGGGAATAGGTTGGTTTATACTCTCTCCTACTTGTTCTTTAAATGCCGTTAAAATATTTTTTTAAAAATATTATATCTGCCTTTTACTTTCTCCTTTGCCCCTACAACCCTTTGCCACTGACCTTCAATTCCTTGATGTTCAATTTGTTTCCTCCATATGATCTTAGTCCATCCAGGATATCAGCAATGGCTTTATTGTCTTCCTCTGTCTCTCTCTCTCTCTCTCTCTCTCTCTCTCTCTCTCTCTCTCTCTCTCCCTTTCAAATGCACCTGGGGTTCAGCTCAGAGGTAGAGTGGTTTTCCAGCTTATGTGAGGCCGTGGGTTTGGTCCCTAAGCAGTAACAAAAAGTGTGCTGCATTATTTTATCCCTAATCAGAAAGAACTTGTTATTTTGTCCCTACATGGACCTCTCTCTGGTCAGAAATGAGTCCTTATTACCTATTCTTGAATACATTTTGGTTCATACTTTTAGAGACTATACAATTTTAGTTCTAAAATGGATTCTCCAATAAGCTAGTTGAGTGTCATGGTGGGATGGAGGGGGAATAAAAATTATCAAGGTTTAGTTTAGTTTTTTTTTTTTTTTTTTTTTTTTTTTTTTTTTTTTGGTACTGGGGATCGAACTCGGGTTAAAAATTATCAAGGTTTAAAGAAATTACTCATGCAAAGCAAATTCTAACACAGCTAGCCCTGGTGTCCTAATCCATTGGTTGTACTTTCCTCCCTATACCCAGCTTCCCCGTTCTCCACCGTGTGCTGTTCCCTTCTTTATGTCCCCGCAAATCCATTCTTTGCTCCTGGGCAGCTGAGCTCTCCTCTGGGGAGTCTGCCTGATTGCATGACCCTCACAGAACATCAAATAATTAGGGAATTTACCACTGCAACAAGATCATGTGTAGTTCCTGACTTGGCAATATAAAGCGAAAAAAAAAATTAAAGCCAGAAATATCGTGAGAGTCCACAGAAATTATTTATTATGTATTTTTTGATACTAAACTGCCAAGCAAAGTGACTCAGCCTGTCATCCTGACTACCATCCCAAGGCAGGAGGATGGTAAATTCAAAGCCAGCCTGGACGACGTGAGACCCTGTCTCAAAATAAAAAAGGGCTGGGGGATGTAGCTCAGTGCAAGGTCGTTGACTCAATTCCTAACACCAGAAAAGAAAAGAAAAACTCAATTTAAATATTTACTGAATGTGACAGTGGTGAGTTTTTCATTCTTTTCAAGTAAGAATAAATTTACATATAGAAAAGAACCCCTGAAAACCTTGGAAAAATCCTGTTTAAAACAATGTGTTTGTAAATAGAAGAGCTTTTCTTTTCTTCAAATTATTATGACATGAGAATAGAAAACTTTGCCACTGGACAAGACAACTTGCATTTATTTTAGCACACGGAGAATATGATTGTTCCCATGTATTTTTAAAATTTTTTTTCAAGTGTTTGAATCTCGTCTTTTTCCCCAGGCATTTCCTGGAAACATCAACTCTGACAGCGTGGTCCGGCACGATTTGCAGCACCCGGTCGTTGCCCGCTATGTGCGCGTGGTGCCGCTGGACTGGAGCACAGAGGGCCGAATCGGGCTGCGGGTCGAGGTCTACGGCTGCTCCTACTGTGAGTGTGCGGGTTTAGAATCCAGGATGGGGGATTTGTCATGTGGGCTTAAGTAGTTTTAAAACAAAACAAACAACAACAACAAAGCTATCAACACTTGCTTTCTCAGAAAATAAACAAGTGTTAACACTTGTTTTTTCTGAAAATAATTTAATGTTCTTAGTGTAAGATTCTTTTCTGTTTTCATTGTATAAATATACACCATACATACCACCAAAAATACATCTAATAATAATATAAGGATTCACATCATTAGGGTTTCTTTTTTTCAGTATATTACAACAAAGCTTATTACATTGCCTGAAATCTTATGAAATATTTACCAAGAGGAAATCTACACTGTAATCCATCTTTTTGTTGGTGGTGGGTTTTTGAGTACTTTCTCAAGAACCTCCTTCACCAAGTCAATCTTGAGTTAATGCCACTTATATTATAAGCCAACCACTGAATTTTATGTCCTATAAATTTTATATTGCTGTACATTTTCTTGCCTTTGTCCAGTCTATCTAGTCACCTAAAAACTTTCCTTTCACTTAATTTGGTTTACACTCGTCATTTTAAAAATTTTCTTAGACACATTATACCTTTTAAAATTTCTTAAATATTTTATACCTGTGTATAACAGTTGCGGTATACAGAGTTGGGACAGTTCTGCTGTCTGCTCTCTGCTTATTTTTGTTTATAGTAATATAGGCTCCCTTTATCCAGGAGGAATGTGTATCAAGACCTTCACAGGACGCTGAGAAGCATGGGTACCAATGAACCCAATATGTACTATTTATTTTCCTATCCATATGCACACATCTATGATAAAGTTTAATTTATAAGTTAGACAGAGTAAGAAATTAACAATAACCAATAACAAAATGCAACATTTATAACAATATGCTGCAATGAAGATTATTTATAATGCATGATGTTTTTTTCTGAAACTAGGCATTTAATCTTTCTGGATTACAGTTGACTGCAGGCACTAAAACCATAGAAAGTAAAAGCAAATAAAAGATAGTATTGTCTCCTCCTACTCCCCCTCTTCCTTCAATCTCCTCTGCCTCCTGTTCTTTCTCCTTTTCCTCCTCCTCTTCCTTTCCCTGTCTTTCTCCATCTCCTCCTCTTTCTTCTTTCTCTTCTTACCCTTCTTCTTATTCTACTTATGTTTACCCACATGTTTCTTTTTAACTATCTTGACTATCATCTCAATTTCTTAAAAACTTTATCTGTGAGATTGACGGGAGACTGGATAAAGAAAATGTGGCTTTTTAAAAATAAAATGGAGTACTACTCAGCCATGAAGAATGCAAAATTTGAGTCATTTATAGCTAAATGGATGCACATTGAGTTGATACTGTTAAGTGAAATAAATAGGACACACGTGTAAATACTGACTAGCTTCTCTAGTGTGAGAAACTGAAAGTGTAAATAAGGACTAAAAAGTATAATAGATAATGTGAAATAGGAAGAAAAGGTGCAAAGGGGAAAGGGAAATGGGACAGGGCAAAAGAGAGGGGAATGGAATTAATATGAGAAAAAGAAAAAATGGAAACAAAGTATAGATAGGGAGGGAGGGAGGGGTTGAAGGGAGGGCAGAGGAATGGGGAAAAAATAAGAACCAAGGTGGATTATGTTTTGGTGAAAATTTCCAATGATGATTGGCATTATATTTTATACCTTAAATGTACCAATATAATTAATTGATAAAAAACTTTGCGGCAGTTCCTTAAAAAATATAAGAAATAAGCTGGTGAAGGGTTCCTGAAGAAAGGGTTTTTTATTTAGTTTCTTTCGTGAATGCAGCATCAACCCAAAATTACTTTAACATTTCTTTACTTCTTTTTAAACCATTAGTTATTATAAATTTAATCTGTAAACACATAACTTGAAAACACTGTCTTCCTGATATGAATTCTCCAGTAAAGTATTTTTTCCTCTAATCCAAGGAAATTTTTTTCTTACTTTTTTTTGATGGGCCAGGGAAGGAGGCAGTTTGAGTATGGAGAGAGAGAGGGCAATTGAGATACCAATTTTTGCAAGAATTTATTTATTTTTCTTTCTTTCCTTTAATGTAGACCCATAAACATAAAAGCTCACTGTAACCATAGGTTTAAAACATTCCCCTATTGAAGATGCTTCTTAAAATTAATGAAACAGTGTTTTGTAATAAGGGACACACCTGTGGAAATTTAATTGCTTTTCCAGCAAGCCTGGGCTTTGAAAATCACAGAGAACTAACTGAAGCAAACTAGGGCTATTTTAGTGTATAAAACCTCTGGAGGAGAAATCAGACAGCCTTGGAAAACTATATTAACACTTATACTAGTAGATAGCAGTGGTGTAAATGATAAATTTGCAACATAAAACAAAAGATAAATTGAAAATAGCATTGTAGTAAGTTGGACAATGGTCCCCTAATTATATCAGGACCTAATTTCTGGAACCTAATGCTGTGTAAGACAAGAGGTTTGCAGATATGATGAAGTCACCACTCTCGATTTTGGAGGCACAGCCAGCGTTATCCAGGTGGACCCCAAGTTCCATTACACTTGTCCTCAGAAGAGATCATGAACCTACAGCCTAGAAAGGAAGTTTCATTTCTTTTCCTCTTAGTGTTTACAGTTCTGTGATGACTCTGTGGTCTGAGAAATGGCGTATTCTTAAAATTGAAAACCAGAAGTTATAATAAAGAATACATCTGTTCCAGGTAGAGAAGATCAGTTCCAGGCCTGTATTTAAAGCCTTTAGGAACTCTACTACCTGTGTTTCCTGACTTGCCTTAAACTTTAAATGATTTCTAATTTCAGTGAATCTAAACTCACTTTAAATTACTCTGCTTCCTCTGTATTTAATTTTCTCCATGCTTAGCTGAAACAAGCACATGTTATTATTTTTTGAAACTCAGTGAGATGCCCACCGTCTTTTGACTCTGTAATCCATAATCCTCCCACAGCACTGACATTAATCTTACTCTTACACTGGAAGGGTGGCATGAAGCAAAAAGGAAACTCTTCAGTTGAATTATTTTGAGAAATCTCTTACGGCTGCATTACCCAAACATTCATTTTACAAAAGCCAAACATTGTGTATTGATTGAAGCAGTGATCATTTCTGATGCCAAACACTAAATTAGCTTTTAACCAGAGTCTTCATAAAAATAAGCTTAGCACCTTGCAAAAGCAAGGAACAAGCACCTAAAGTAATTTTTATATATGCCTTCAATATGGAGGAATAAAAACTAAGGCCTTGAAAGGCTACCCAGTACAAATCATGGTGGAAAATTGGTGTAGGTCAAGAAGAAAAGCATGCCAAGAGAAGCTGAATACAAATGCTGTAGAAGGATGACAAAGTTTGGTCCTTTTATGCTGGGCCCACAGGACATCTGCCTGCTCCATTGACAGCATTTTTGGGGCACCACAACCCCCTCTCTTAGCTCCCATTCTGCCCAGGCAAAAGATGCTATCATGTATATGAATTAATTTCTTAGAACTTTTGTAGCAAATTTCCATAAACTATGTAACATGGGACAACAAGAATTTATTTCCTGTAATTGTGGCGCACATTCCAGCCTCTGTGTCTGATTTATTCCCTCTGTGTTTCCGTATCTCAGTGGGTACCCGTGACCTTCTTGTAAGAATAGCAGTTGTTGCTTTTAGGACCCACCCAAACTCAGCATGACCTCATTTTAACTAATTATGTCTTCAGAGACACAATTTCCAAGTAAGTCATTCTTTGCAGGTTCTGAGTAGATAGGAATGTTTCAGGAAGTACTAGCCAGTACAGTACAACGTGTACTTATTAAAATTGGTAAGAATATATGTGTAGTTTACATGGGCACAACAAATAGAGCTCTGAAAGTTAATTCATGGTCTTTGCTTCAAACTAGATATTTAATTATGTAGGATGTAGAAGGATCTATGAAACTTGCATTTTTACATCCAGGGTTTCATCAGTATAACCAGTGAATATTTACTTAGAGTCTGCTGTTTTCAGGCATCTGCAGATACCTTTAGGCATAGTCCCTGCTCTCTAGTAATTTAAATTTTGAAAGGAACAAATAAATAAATAGGTTCAGAATTGTATGAAAAATGCTACTACAAAGGAAAAGAAAACTTCACCAATGTTGGTAGTGGGATAAGGCATCACCTACTTTACACACTGACAAAAAAATTGGAAAAAGGAACATTACATATAAGAAATAGAATTTGCAAAGACATAAAGACTCAGAGATAAGAGGATAACTTATTCTATAATAGGAATCATTTTGTCATATATATGTGTGTTTAGTTAAAATGAAAGTTTTATATTTCTTGGAAGATTCAAACATTCATTTGAGACATAATGTATCAGTTTCATTAACATTAATTCTCCTACTTATAAAGGATTTTGCTAATTTTGCTCAAGCCATAAGTGTTATCATGTTACAAATGTGTTGAAATACTTTAATAATGTCACATTGATTTGAAAGTCCAAGATGTTAGTTGGAAATACATTTCCCTTCAACCCATCATTTATCTCCGCATTTTATACAGCACTAATGTGAACCATTAATATTTCCAAATACATAAAGGACCTGCTTGTGTGACACATGATCCTTTGAGATGTTCTCTGAGGACAGTAACTTTTCCCTCATTGCTCACCTGATCAATTATTTGGTATTTTCCAAGATTCACTTGAGCTGCAATCTTCAGTAGGAATATTTCTCTGAATTTCTAGAATAAATTACATCTTTCCCTTCTTTTCTTTTTACCTCATTCTATCCAGCGAACATTTCCAATAAATCATTTATCAAAACAGTCCAAAAGAAAGTAAACTGTATATTGGAAAGGTCACTCAGTTCATCACTGGCCTTCATTAATTGTAAGACTTCCTCTACTGTTTGCCATAATGAACACATATGATGTACAAATGATAGAGATATGATCACTCCTCTTAGTGGAAAACACTGAGCATATATATGTTCTTTTATTAACTGATCAGGGTATAATTTTATTATATGATAACGATTG